ACAGCCCAAAAAATCGCGCGCATGTACAAAACCGTGCCTGTTGGGTTGGCTATTCTCTAGGCCGCTTGCCAGTGATTCAGTGCCTCGGCAGGCACATTCCAGAAGGAACACTGCCTAGTTTGCAATCTCTCTAACCACCACTTGCTCTACCTTTGCAATTAGTCAAAACTAATCCAAACGAACCAGAGTGAGTCAGCTGTGAAACTCCCGCTCCGAACAGTGGGCTGTGTGGTGGGAGAGCACACAGATGGAGTTTCCTTTTTAAATGAAATGTTTTGGCACTCGCCTCTGTCAAGAGCTTTCCCTTGTTTCCATCTGGTTTTAGTGTTGGAATGCATACAAGAGAGAATGGAAAAAGAAAACCCTGTTGGCGTGTGAAACCACTAGAACAACTGAAGTGGCCGCCAGCATATCCTCTGAATCCTTAGAGATTAGAACTCCTGTTTCAGGAATGTTGTTACATTGTTTTTTGGGAAAGGGGTAGTTCTCTTCTTCAGACCTAGCTCTGCCCTGGAAAAAATGTTAAGAAGTGTGTGTTCTAGGGAGTCAGACAGACTCCATGAGGGTCTTGGCTCTGTTATCCTCTGGCCATCAGACCCTGGGCAGCACACTCACAACTCTGTCTTTGTTGTTTCTTCTGTAAAGTAAAAATAATGACAGAAGCTATCATGGGAATTCAATGATGCAACTTCAGTTAACCACTTAGTTATCGATCGGTAGACTCTCTTATTCACCAGGATTTAGAATAAAACCTTAATTTTTCACACTGATTTTCGCAGAAAGATCTCCAGACCCCAAAACACTCTAGAATTTTTAAGGCGTCTACTTTTTGTATTCCACAACTGAGCAAAACTAATTCCTATGTGACCAGACCCATATTAGAAGACACTTTGGATTTCCATGGAATACTAGTTTCTAAAACAAAGTATTCACTGATAATCTTCTAATATGTAACTTAATAGCCTCGTTCTAGCATACAAGACTACCACCACTAGCCAAAGCCATCAAAGTTTTAACCTGCAGAACACTGAGGTAGTACCAAGACATGATTATTGTAACTGTGAGAAATGGGACAGAAAGATACTTGGTTTGGGAAGCGCACTCTCACCCAGTTCTTTGTGGACAACATAATGGTTCTGAAATGTATCTATGCTGCTCATATACCGTAGTGTATTTCTCTTCACTGGCAGAGAGTATCCTATAACAGATGACTTACTCAATCAATATATAATTCTTTGAATTATTTCTGATTTGTTCTTGTGAATAAAACTTATGGATATTTATGGACAAGTTTTTATGTGGATGCATGTTTTTATTTCTTTCAGTTTTATAACTAAGAATAGAGTTTAACTTTGATTTTATTGAAACTTCCAAAATTTTTACCAAAATAGTTACATCGATTTTTACCTTCCTACCAGTATGAGAGCTCATGTTATGCTACATGCTTGTTGGCACTTAGTATTGTTAGTATTTTAAATTTTTACCACTGCTGAAAGAAAAGTAGATTCTGATGCTTACCCATATTAATCATGGAGGCCTTTCACCACATGAGCACTCCTGACTGGTTAATCAGGGAGTCCGAGGAGAGACACTTAACTTCTCAAGACTGCGTGAATGAACTGGAAAGATTATTTGTTTCTGCTAGGATTACGGGCTGCGTAACTCAAAAAAAGATCATCTCAATTTTCCGACTCCACCACCTTGTTTTTGGCTTGCTAGAAGATATGTAATGCACTCTGAAATTTGTTTTTAACTTAATACTTCTGAGTATTTGAAGAGTAGTTACACACTATGTGCAGACCCTGCCCTAATTGGGACAAAGTGCACCTATTCAAATTGCATACCTGCTTGGCATCACCACACCACCACTGCTGAAGGGCCTGGGCTCCAGAGAGCAACAAGCCCTCTCTAAGGGCAGGAAGGCAATGTCATTCTGAGCTCCGCTCTGACTGCGCAGCTTCCCATCCATGGTGGGCCACAAAGAGGTCGCACCAAATAAGAGGAAAGAAGCCCAAAATCCATCTTAGTCTGTTAATGAAGCTGTCGCTCCCTCTGCCCAGAATGCCTGCTCACCCACACAATCCTCTGGAAGCCCAGTGAAGCCCTACTTTGCTAAGTGCTTGTTTCTCCCAAGAAGGCCAACTTCCCCTCACAGATTCTTATCTGGATTTTTCCTTTGGGGCCTTTTCACAGTTTATAATTCCGTTCATTTTTGTGAGTAACTTATTAATGCCTTACTGCTTCCTCTCCATGGAACTAAATGACATTTTCTTCTAACTATTCCCTCAGCACCTAGAACACTCAGCACATGGAAAGTACTTAATAAAAACTACTTCACAAACTGCTAATTAAAACATTGCCTTATCGAGATTGATATGCCACTAAGCCTCACATAAGTTAGAAAATAGTGGCTACTACTTCCTAGTCACTTAGAAGAAAAACTCAAACTCTAAAAACAGTGCCAACACTGCCTGGCCTTTTCCTGTCCCAATTTTCATTGTAACATCTGATGAAATGTCAGATCTATTTTATCTACCTAGCCTCTCAAAATTCAAAACGATGAAAAGAAAGATTTTCCGGAACAAGAAATGTTCTCCTATTGTTATGCAACAATAAAGCAATTCTTTTTTTTTTTTTTTTTCAGACTTTAAAACTGAAGGTGTTGGCAACTTGTTAAGTAAATGCAGTTATCCAGTAAGTCCCAGGACACTATCTCCTATGACAGGACTAATGGTTATGCTGTTTCACTACAGCCAGGCTGTTAGAGGTCCTTATCGCACTTGCAGACTTTCCGATCAGCAAAAAGGAAGACAACAGCATGTGTCTAAAATGCAAAGGCAGTAGTTCTCTTTCGGTTATAGGTATAAGTGGAATGATAAAAAATACAGTGACTCTTTCAATTTTTAAAGAAAACATCGCAGTGAAAGATGCATCGCCATTACTCCCCTCAAAATATTCTCTCTTGCTTCAAATGCATTCATCCCACCATCCTTTGTACTTTCTGAAGAATTTCTGAGAATCCCGCTTTCATGAGTGCTTCACGATGCAACATTTACCACGTTTTCTTTTTAATCATACTCATGGGGACACTCATGAAAGAGAACTTCCTCAGTATTTCAGAAAGTAGAAAAAATGCTAAATAAAAAAAAAAGTATGCTCAAATCAACGGGGAGGATTTTAAGGGCAATATATGGTAATAAATCTTTTGCTTTAATAATTATTTTCAATTTAAATATTAACTATATAGCTTGATCACACCTATTATACAGGGTAAAGCTCGAGGGGCTTCTGGACCATGGATTTTCTTCAGATAGTCCTCTATAAGAAATCTCAAGGAAATACTGAGTAAACAGACCTCAAAAAATAGAAGCATTATATACTGAGCTCTTTCCATATTCATCTCATCCCAAATGCAAAACAAATTTTATTGGCATGGATGGTGTCTTCTACCTAAAGTCCCTGAAGAAGCTCATGTGCTCCTCGGTCAGGCTTTGGGAAGGCGATTGGATTACGGAGACAGGAAAGCTGCCAAGAGGGGACCTCTGGTCAGAGGACCTGGGAGGACAAGTCTCCGCTCCCAGTGCCTCCCATTACTTTCTTTCTTCCTGTCCTACTGTGGCAGAGCAGCTTTCTCTCCCATTCCTCCCGGATCCAGCTGACTACGCATTGCAACATGAGCCAAAATAAACATTTCCTTCTTAAATCTGAGGGTGTTGGCTATTGTGTCTCAGCGACAAAATAAGTAAAGCAGAATATATTCTGTACATTAGTGTCTTAAACAAACTCTAGGATCTAAATTTAGAATATAAAAATATACTGAAGATCTGAATCTTATAAAAGAATATTAGAAAGGTATTAATTGAAGGTTACTTCTTTCTTTCACTCAGTCACTACGTACTGAGTCCCTCCTATGTGCCAGGCACTGCTTGGCACACTAGAAAATACATATATCTCTTAACAATAACCACATTTTATCATCCAATTCCTCTTTAGGGAAGAGAGACCAGTGTTTCAAGTTATATGCATTCAAATGCTTATTTTTTAAGCATTGAAAAGTCCTTCTTTACAAATTGCTATGTTTTTATTTCATCTTTAGCCTAAGATAAAGTCACATGTTTTTTTCTGATAAAGGCTATTTCCAGGTTGAAATGCATTCTGACAAATTTAAATAATCAGAGGTTTATTTTTTAAAAGCTAAAAATGGGTGCAAAATGTAAAGTTTCACTCCCATACCACAAATGAAAGAAATGTTAAAAAGTTGAATTAAAGTAAGCTTAATTCTTCCATCATGCCATTACCAAATGTACTATCAAAATATATAAATGCCCCAGGTGTGCAGATTAGCATCAGACATAACTCTATAGAAAATGTATCCAAATTTTATCTTGAAAAAAACTTGATATGAATCCACAGTAAATCCTCCAGATCTCCCATAATCACAAACAAGAAAAAAAATAATCCAACAAAATTCTAAGCTTAATAAAACAGATGCTTCTTCCTGACAAGACAACTGCTGTCGGGCAAAGCCAAGATTTGTGAACGTTTCTTTCTCACGTTCTAGAAGGTGCCAATATTTATCTCGAGACAAACTTACTAATTATTGACAATGTTCTAGAGAAAGAAAGTCAAGGAAAATCAGGCTGCCAATAATGACACTTATCCAAATACCAAGACTTGTTATAAAACAAAAATCCCCAGAGGAAAAGACCATTCCCTATGACGGCAAGTATGAACAAATAAATGTCTGCCAAACTCTGCAGAAACCCTTAATGAGCTAAAAAATACATGAAGACTATACTTCACTACTTTTCAAATGTAAAACAATCTCAGAAATAAGGATGCCATGTGCAAATAAGGACCAGAGGAAGACAACACACAAAATAGGAAAGAAAAATGGAACAGCAGGTACTTTGAAACTTCACAGGGCTCTTCGAGATACTTTAGAGTTGAATCTTTTCAAACAGAACTTATTTTAATAATATCAATCTGATCTTCATTACCTGATAGACAGATATAAGTTAAATATTCTCCTTGACCCCCAGTTGCCAAGAAAGGAATCTTTTTCTTTGTCCTCCTTTTCACTTGGACAGCTCCCAGCATCCTTTCATCAAGAGGTGCAAAAATTTCCTTGCTGATGGCAGATTTGGCACTCATTGTAGAGCAAGCGAGGAGGGTACGCTGTGAATTTTCTAAGGAAGGAAAACAACAAGCAAAAGTTGGAATTGGTAATACTGTAGGGCTCACATAAAAATAAGGAACAAGCAGATTTGCAGTTAAACTACTTTTCAATCGACAGTTTAACCTTTGTTTACTTGAAAAGCATTACAGGACCACAGTAAGTAAGGTCTTTTATTTATAAAGTCTATGCAAAAATACAGACAAAGGCTTGGAGAGATAGCTTGGTGGTCTAGGCACCTGCCTGGCAAAGGCAAGGACCCAGGTTTGATCCTTGGTACCACATTCTGTGCTGGTCCCGCAGTATGCTAGCCACCAAAAGGGTGTGGTGGCACATGCCTGTAATCTCAGTGCTTGAGAGGCTGAGACAGAAGGACCACTATGAGTCTAAGCTCCGTAGCAAGACTCTGTATCAAATAAACAAATAGAAGATTTTTTTAAATTAAAAAATTACAAAGAGGGCATAACCATCTACTCCTTAAAAATGTCAAGCACCGTGAGATAAACAGAATGAAATGGAACCTAGAACATCTGGAAATTTCTGCTCTTACTGCACCACACTTAACTGGAAAGCAGTAGCCACCCTAATCTGCAAGGAACAGTATTCCACACTTCCTGTGGAGGAGTCCTCCGCTGTTCAACAGTCCGTAAAATCAGGAAGTTCTTTAGGCTCTTTCAAAACCACTGTTAACCCTAATGTAAATCTATTTCCCTAATTCTATTCATAATGGAAATAATTATATCATCTTCCACATAATAACTGTATATGCAAAAGAAGACCATTAATTGAATCATCTCTCAGCAATCTTTGATCCGGTTACGAAATGAACTCTTCTTTATCAGCCTCTTGCAATAGGCCCTGTTTTCTAGCCTTCTTCTTTGTGGATTTGCCATGCTCTGAGTCCTTGACAAACTCTATTTTCCTTCAGCCAAAATGGACACAGAACTCTGAAAAAGCATCTTACTAATGCTGAGTGTTTTAGAAATGCTACCCAGAAGTTCCCACATGTTATGTTCCTGTGGTTAACTGGCATCAGCTGCCCAATAATTAAGAAAGTAAAGCAGTATGTAGCTGACTCAGAACTAAACCCCCCCCAAAAATACTTGCACATACAAAGTCCACACGATATATTTAGGTTTTTTTTTTCTTTCTTAAAAAAAGATATACTTCCCTAATATTCTTAATTCTGCTTGTGCCTATTATGCTCAAAGTCAGTCTGAATATTAATGCTGCTTCCATGGAGCTCAACGGAAATGTCTCTGTTCCATCACTCTAGTTATCAAAGTTTCTGACACTCAGTTTAATTACTCCAGCATGGAGACATCTTTACCTCGCTTCTCCAACAAAAGAACTAAGTAATGGAATATGTGTAGATCAAGTGCTTGAGTAACAGTTTTCTTAAAACTGGCAACATTTTTACTGATCATCCTACCATGATATAAATAACAAAAGGGCTTCTGATCTTGTAGTAACTGAATAAACACAGCCATCCATATAGCCAAGTACTTTGATACATGTAAAAGTGAAATAATCTTATTTACCGAAGTCTTATTTTCTCACTCCCTGTTATAAAACTCTCCATATAAGTAAACGGTCTCATTAAGTGTTACAAGGAAGACACATTTATAGGTTTTAGCATCAGGAAATTCACTAGTAGAGATTATCAGATTGATTCTATGGAAAAGTAATGTTTTGAGCAGAGTAATGACATTAATAGCATAATCGTGTGTGTGTGTGTGTGTGTGTGTGTGTGTGTGTGTTTAATATCACTCTGACACTCTGATGGTAGACTGGAGAGGAAGACGCCATTGTAGCTTTAGGGGAATAAGTATAATACCTCTCTAAGAGTGTCCAAAATCTGGTCATACATCTGTATTCAACATGGAGAGTTTCCAGTAAATACATTCTCTTGGCCCCCATTTTTACTCCATAAATGAGTTATCTTGAGGTCCATATTTTAAGGGTGTGTGTTTGTGTGTGCACAAATGCATGCAGGGCCTCACTACACAGCTTGGACTTGTAATGATCCTCCTGATTTCTGCTTCCCTAGCACTGGGATTACAGGCATGTGCCAACACACTTGGATTTCAATGCTGACTCAGCATGTGGGGTCAGGGTGGCATGCTATGCCAGGGATCGAACTCTGGGCCCTGTGCTTACCTAAGGAAGCACTTAGTCTGCTGAGCTATACTGCCAGCCCTTTAGGAGTCTATATTTTAAACAACTTTCTAACTGGTTGCCAGGCTCCCATTTAGTCACTTGGCAACCTTAAAAGCCAGTAGTCTGAAGAGAAATTAAAGCCTGGGCCAGTAAGGTTGTGATGGAAAGAAAAAGAAGGATCATTTCATGAAGAAAGATAGAAAAACAACACAGAATGCACTCTCCTCTCTTGGTTCAATCAAACAGCTCTATGGGCTCTTACACCTTACTGTTGCTAAATCAATCCCTGGCCCAAGATCAGGACCCCATCTTCAGAAAGCAAGATGAGCACAGCATCAATGGTGCTCTAGCAACCACTTGTTACTCTAAACTATGTTACCACAAAGAAATTCTTTTTTTCCCCCACTGGTCCACAGCTTCCATAGTACATAACTACAAAGCTTCTCCATCCAAGAAACCAACTTGCAACTGCTCTGCAAGTCAAAGCAGCTGACTGCCCTCTGTTGTTGACAGTTGCAGAAATAAATTGCAGTTCTGGTTTTCCTCAAGACCCTTTTCTTCTTTTTTTTTTTTTTACTTAAAGCATCTAATTCATGCACACATGAGATGGCTCTTCACCATGCAAGGAACAGAGAAATGAGATTATCCTTTAGGGTAAGAATTAGAAATGCAAATAATCTCTGGAATTATATAGATGAAATGGATAAGAAAAGGGATACAGATGTAAGATCTTGCAAAGGGAAAGCCATCGTTGGCAATGCATTCATGCATTTCCTACAGGTAGTTAGGGGTGGTGTGGATGCTACAGACCTTAAATACTTTTTAACTGAGAAGCGTGGATTTCCTCCAGTGTGAAAACAGTGCCACCTACTCAGCTTAGTGCTATTGGATACTTGATTTATCCAATATCATTGACTTCTCTGTTCTTATCTTATATATAACCTTCTTTAATCACATTTTGGCCTTGGCTGTGGCAACATGAATATCTTGGGCAATGTGCCAGTTATACTTATAAATAAGGAGGAAGACTTCCTAGTTTTAGACATCAGCTGAATGAAGTAGTTAATGTGACATCTCAAAAGCAGATGCCTCAACATTCTTATGTCAAGTGTCATAATACTCAAAGTTCAAGAGAAAAAAAAGATGTTGTCCTGGAATACTTTAGGGCAGAATCTACTGATCTCTTCTAGCATATGGGAACTCCAGTGAGATGAATCCAAAAACAACTTAGAAATACAAGAAAACACAATTATCTTCTAAAATTGGACTGCTTTACACGGCCACTTTAGTTTGAAATTCTACAAGTACAACTTCAACCACCCACCTATATAATCAGATGATCTCATTGTGCCTGGGAATGTAAAGGCCTCCCATTGGACATGTGCTAAAGGCCTGGTTGCCAGCTTGTGACCTGCTTTGGAGGTTGTGTCTTCTTTGGAACATAGGGCCTGACACAAGAAATTAAGTTGGGGTGGGCTGCCATTGTGGGAGATGAGAATCTGAGGTAAATATAGCTTCTTTGTAAAAATTAAATATTTATGAAAGGGTTAATATTATCAATAGCAAATTCTTAATTCTACATCCTTCTGTGATAAGACACTTCTCAAGAGGAAAACATTAATCTAGGCATAGTATGTAAGCATGTTTGCAACAATAAATTCATAAAGACTTTTAGCTACCTCAGGCAGTGTTTCAATATACTTCAATTAATATTCTTAATAGTTATTATAAATAGACATTAAGAAGGGAATCAGGTAAGCCACTAGAATAAACATAATTTTAATCTGATAGTAATATACAAAGTTTGAAATTAAGTCACTACAAATTCAATCATTCTTTAACTCAAATTCAATCGTAGCATAATAAATAAGTGCTATGGAATAGGCTCGCCATGGCAGGAAATCAGATGAGACTAGAAGATCCAGAACCAGTAATTAAAGCTTCACAAAGTTAAGAATTAATAACATACACAGAAAATCCTCTAGCAACATCTTTGAAGGAATCAGAGACAACTTCACAGGAAAACAAAAGCCATAGGAATATGAATAAAAGCTAAATTTTCTTTTTGCTAGAAAAATATTTGAAGATAGGCAAAAAATATATTAAAAGATGAATTCCCAACGAATAGTGTACATCAATATCAGGTAGGGGGGCCCAAGTGATAACCTTAGAGATAAAGGAGTCATAAGGGGTCAGAACCTGAGGCTTGTTTTTCTGAAAACCTGTCCAGTTTATTTTGCTGTACAGTCAGTTCAGAACCAGTGTTTGAGGGATTTTTTTTGTGTTTAGTGAATTATTTATAAATTAAGTAAAAATATTTCATAAACAAAAGTACATGACAAGTGCTCTGTAAAACCCTTGTAATGAATCACTGAAGTTGGTACAGTACTCCAAAGGAATTTACAAACTATATACACATGTAATCCAAAACATAGAATCAAGATGGCAACTAAATGCATCTTCCAAAGATTCGTTCAAAACTATTAATTACATTTTTAAAATAAGATTTTATGAATGGCACACTATGTTATTTTTCCTTATCCCTGTTGGTCTAAGGATTATGAGAATGTTATGTCTCTCACAGAAATTAATATTTAAATTGAAACTCTCTGAACCAAAAACTATTAGAAAAAATATATGAACATGCATATATTATAGATAGTGTTTAACTCAGATATACTTTCCTTCAACCAAACATTATAAACAACATATATATTCATCAATCTTTATCAGCTAAATGTAATACAGCCCACATTCCCAGTGGAATACTATGCTGAGACTCGTATTGACTTGGAGAAATGACCATAAAATAATCCAGAAATAAACAAAGAGATTTTAGAACAAAAAATGACC